GTTAGGTGAGCTAGTTTTCAACAAACGCAGAAAAGATTATTCTCTTTAAATTTCGCTGAAGTTTTTATTTTTCTCTTTCAGGTAACTGGTGTGGTCATTACTTATTTTACTCTTTTATATTAGTTGGAGTGAGGCGATATATTGATGAAATATCGATCGGTCTCTCTCTGAACATTCTTTAAATTCAGTTGATGTGTATGAACAAATAAACGGCAAATGGACCATTATTTGCTTATATTGGTAAATATTTGTGTTGAGCAATGGGCTGAGACGCCTTGGCATATATTCTTATTGACTGAGGTTACTCTTATTGGGTGGTCTGAATGTTTGCCTCGACGTTTTTTTTTTGCTGATAATGAGATGGTAATGAACTGTTGACCTGTAATGCAATCGTTTTGAAAACTGCTATATCTTGAGAGAGAACAACACTGGTTTTTCTTGTTACAGAGAGCGAACGAAGCAGCCTTTTTTGAGGGAGATGTTGCTCCGTAATCTCGCCAACCCATTGCATGCTAGGAATTTGGCAAAAAAAAAAAAAAAAGAGAAGAGCTAAACCGTTCACATTTCAACATAGAGAGTGTGTAAAATAGATATCGTTTTAATGAAGGACTTGATACACAAGATCAACAAAATGATTATCACGTGCAGAAGGGTCACCTTGCAAACTTCTCTCAGGGGTAGGGCGTGATTTGTAAAGGCTCATTCACGCGCGACTCAATCAGCGTTGTCAATATTTGCTTTAAATCTCGGCTTTACCGCCTACCGGATTTACATAGATTGACAGTGAATTAACCTGATTAAAATTCTCGTAATTCGTCTTGTATCGAGTCTTTTTCTGAAATCATCTAATCAGGCCTAAGAGCAAGGCATCTTTCACAAGATTTCTGAGAATAGTGAATGATAAGTGTGCATCAAAATTTGCATGTGATTTAGACCATAACAGATCTTTGATGACGCATCATTCCTCAGCACGCAATAGGTGACAGCGCATGATACCTAACGTGACAAAAATCTGCTAGTATTGTGTCAAAGTGTGCGTGTAACTTTTCATCACAGATAAAGCTTCGGACCTTTACTCCACAAACGGTTTTCGACAATGAGTTTTCAACCGAACGGAGTTGAGTTTTTAGACGTGTCTATCGAAGCCGACTTTAATAAGCCGCATTCGCCCAGAATTAATCTTAAAGACATGGATAAGATGTCAAATGGAGGGAAAGACGAAGCAAACCAGTCAACCAAGAAAGAGTTGAGTGCTATTAAGAAGATTTGTATGATTGCCAAGTTACAATGTATATTCCTCCCAATGAAGTTGTTCGGTTTGTACTTTCAAGACGTGAGGGGTACTTGTTCAGGAGAATTTGTCGCATATGGAGGGAAATCGGCATTTTTGATGCGTTCGTACCAGTTCGTGGTGATCGCGATTTTGTGGATGAACTTCGGCAAGACGCTAGCATCGTTCTGGGTCGGCAATAATCTTGGTACAATGATACTTCCAGCCTTTCTTTGGTTTTTACAAACAGCTCTCCAAGCCTCGATCTGTTTCTTCACCATGAACTTGAGATCTAGGAAGTCCGCCTTGAAAAGTTTGTTGTTGTATTGGAATTCCCAGCCGAACTTTCACGAACTTGTCGTCGAGTCGTACATGATAAAATGCGTGAAACGAACGACGATGGTCGCGTATTTATTAATGTTAATGAACACAGTGCTGTATGGCTTAATCCTGTTTTCTTCGGAATCCCTTATACCAGTGGCACAAGCCATGGTTTCACCCCTTCCTGTTACAAGCATAGCGGCCAAGATATTTTTCTTCATTGTGGCTATTTACAGTTCAGCCGCTTGGTTGATGCCTTTCGCCATTTTCTCCGCCGTCTGCCTAACTTTAATCCATCAATGCCGCCGTCTGAGGAAGACCCTGCGTTTGACTGCCTCCGCCAGTGAAGTGAGAAGAGTGAAGATCTTGAGGGGACAACATTCCTCGTTGTGTGGCTCCGTCAGAAAAGTGGACAACTTGTTTAAGTTCTTGACCCTGGTTGTTTATGTCACGAACATCCCGTTGCTCTGCTTCCTCTTTTACAACCTGATTTTCGTCAAGACTGACAATGTCTTAACCAAAGTGACTTTATCGTTTTGGTTTATTATTGTTGCTTGCATCATGATAGGAGTTTCCTTCCTGGGTGCACAGTTAAATAGCTGGGTGAGTG